TATAGGCTCATTAAACCTTTACCTACAAAACGTAAAAGTGTAAGAATACGTACAAAAGTGTAGTTAGATATCTATAGTTACGAGACATATACTTACCCTTTTTTTACTGTAGGTATAAGTCTTAAGAGGCATATACCTATAGATTTTTATCATATATCTATAGTTTTTGTCCATAGCTAAATGGCAAAAATGCTGTAGTGTGGAGAGTCTTTTCTCCCCATGAAATATTGTGGGAAATTCTTCCTGTCCATGGGTCTCCACAGGGTTCCTTGTTTCTTGTGAAATAATAAAATAATAACAATAAATTATTGAATTCAACCAAATTTAAATGTTTAATTTATAATCATAGAGTATACACATTACTCCATTCTTAATTTTAGCTCAAAAAACATCATTTTAATTCTATTTCTTTCCGGCATGTGAAGAGAGAATGTAATATACTAGGTCATAATCTAGTGCAATTGCAAAACTGTTCTCTACCATGGGAAGGCATTTGGTATAGAACTCTCCTGAGCACAATTTGTAATGATCAGATTCATTAAGCCATAAAGTTTGCTATTTATCAAAATTAAAAAATTTAGCCCAATGCTAAAGTACGATTACTTTAAACAAACTCAACCTAACATTTTTTTTTTAAACTTTAACATAACTTTTTAAAACATTTTTGTTGGGAATAGGCCAACACCTATCCAATGGGCCCAACCGGCCCATTAACACATTCAGGAGCCCAAAGTAACCCCGAGTGTGGGCACACTTACCCAGATACACCCACGTGGGTGGTAACATGTGGGTTAATTGAGTATGTACTTATGGAACTTGACACCATCAGTGGGGGGCTATAAATACCCCCACCTACCTCCGTTTAAGGTCATTACTCCAATATACTTCCTTCTCTATAATTACTCTTCTTGAGAACTTCTCTCTCTAGGATATCAAGTGTTGTTGACTTGAGTGTTAGAGTGTTTTCTCAAGGAAATATCCTCGAGTTTTTCAAGTGTTGAAGCAGCTAAAGATCTTTGCAGTGAAGGTTCGTGAACTTGCCCAAACATTTGGGCGTCGTCTGTTGGAAAGCATAAAAAAGTGGTGTTGCTTAATCGAGTGAAGTAAAACATGGTACATATCTTTACAGGAAGTCAGCCTCTTTCAGTAGACAGAATAGACGATCAGAGCAATGATCAACTTCCGGAGTTTAACCTCAATGACTTTCAACCAATGCTAAGGAACCTTGTTGTAAAGGGAGTAGATGAGGAACAATTAAGTAGTTCTGATGATGAGCAAACACCCACTAGGTATGCCACCCAACCTAAGGAACAATTCCACACTCTGAGAGGCACACAATGAAGACACCCTATTCATAATACACAAAAATCTGGTAGGCCTTTAGAATCAACCTGGACGTCTGAGCTAGAAGAAAGAACTATGGTCTTGGAGATGGCTGTGGGAAGAATACTATCTTGTTTGATTCCTGATGACCCCCTAACTCCCCTCTTGAATAAGGTTGATCATCCTGCAGAAGTTGCTACCTGTATTTCCCCCGCTTTGAGTAATATGGTTGTACCGACCAAACTAAGAGGAAGCGGGAAATTGAACCTAGAACCCAACTTGTCAAAGCTTAACGAAGAATTGTTGAACAAGAATAACGAGCTTGAAAAACAACTCAAGGGTATACGAAAATCCATCGATGAGTTAAGGAGTTCTAAGTCGTGCCAACAAGCACCCGACTTAGATAGTGCTCCTCTTAGCATGTCCATCATGGCAGAGCCTTATCAAGAGGGGTTCAGGATTCCTCATTTAGAAACATATGATGGCTCTAGTGATCCAAATGAACACTTACACACCTACCAAGCCATTATAAAGACACAAAATGCAACAGATGCCATGATGTGCAAAGTTTTTCCAGCTACTTTAAAGTCAACGGCCAAAAGGTGGTACCATAAACTACCTAGACACTCCATTAACTCTTTTTCTCAACTCACCACTTTGTTCTCTAACAAGTTTGTGAGCCAATGAGAAATAAAGCGTACAGCCACCGAGCTAATGCAAGTTCACTAGAATGAGGGGGAATCATTAAGAGATTACATGTAGCACTTTAACAAGGCCACCTTAGATATTGATAATGTGCCAAACACGATTTGCCTATTTGCCTTGTTATATGGCCTAAAATATGGACGGTTTCTAGATGATATGTTGAAAAGTCCATCAAAATTGTGGAATGAGGTGAATGACAGGTCAGCTAGTTTCATCTTGTCGGATCCAATTGTCCAAAAGACAAGCTGACGATAAGCAAAACAAAGAACATCGACAGTAGGAAGGAAGGGAAGAAAAGAAAAGGCAAAAAGATGTCAATCAGAGAGGAAAACCACCTAGCTTCTCAAAATATGCATGCTACATTCCCTTGAGCTCATCGAGGTCCCATATCTTAGCACAAATCCAACATTGGATCAAGAGGTCACCCCCTACTCATGACTCACCACAGACAGATAGGAGTAAATACTGTGATTATCACCATGGATATGGCCATCATACAGAGGATTGTCAGAGCCTAAAGGACGAGTTGGAATTTTTAGCTCGAAATGGAAAGTTGGAAGAACACATCCAGAAGTTTTTCCCTCAACAACCTAGCCAAATTCATTACATACAAGACTATAGTCAATCTCATGGGTAGGGATATCAGGCCAGTGGTAATCAGAACATGTATTAAGGGAATCAATACTCTTTTGAGCTCGACAAGGACTACAAAGGACATCAGCCTAATAAAAGATGATAAGGACAGAAGAATGTTTCCCAAAACCAAAAGGACAACAGGGCGATACGTTACACTAGAGTTCTTCCACCCTTAGGCACAATAAATATGATCTCTGGAAAAATGCATGCAGAGGGCAAAGCGCCCATGGCCATAAGTTTATTCTTGTCAAGTGATGATGATGAACAAAAACAGGCCTTTAAAACAATCGTTTGAAGAAGCAGAGTGGGAGAATGTAGTAATCACATTTAGTCCTTCAGATTATAAAAGACTAGAAAAAGAACCTGATATTATTATGTCTCATGCTGATCCATTTGTAGCAATCGTCCACATAGGTAACCACAATATGAATGAGGTCTTCATTGATACGGGTAGCTCTCCGGACATCTTATATTGGAATTGCTTCTAGAAAATGCAGTTGAACCCAACCTCTCTGAAGAAATACGAAGGACCTATATGTGGATTTGATAAGCAGCCTGCCCCTGTTGAAGGGCTGGTTAACCTCCCCATCTATGTACGCAATGAGCCTCATTATAGGATGGCATCAATGAACTTCCTGGTTGTGAAGATGGAATCGACTTTTAATGCAATAATCAAGAAAGCTACATTGTGCGAACTGAAGGCTGTTATCTCTCAGCCACACTTATGCATGAAGTTCCAACACCCCACGGAATAGGAATGCTAAAAGGGAACTAGAAAATGGCTAGAACTTTCTACTATGACACATTGAAGAAGGTCAAACTTGCAGTAGTGTCTAAAGCTTCCTCATCCCTGATTCATCAGTTATGCCAGCCAAGTCTGCAAACAATAAGCATCTTTGACATAGATCACAAACCCGAGAACGTGGAACAAAAGGTCGAGCCAGTGGAGCTCGTGGAAACAGTTCCCTTAGACCCTACCAAACCAGAAAAAAATCGTGAAAATTAGAACCAAACTTACAACCGAAAAGAGGAAAGAGCTTTTAGAATTTTTGAAATTCAACAAAGATATTTTTGCTTGGACGACAGATGAAATGCCGAGAATTCCAACAAAATTCATAGTTCACATTCTTAGTACAAATCCTACAAGAAAGCCGGTAGTGCCAAAATGTCACCTCTTTGGCCTCGAAAAGCAAGCCGCCATAGACGAAGAAATGTAAAAGCTGTTGCAGGTAGGCTTCATTAGAAAGGTGGAGTATTTAGAATGGGTGTCCAATTCGGTGCTTGTTAAAAAACCTAATGGAAAATGGAGAATGTGCATCGATTTCACGAATTTGAATGATGCATGTCCTAAAGACCCACAATGTCGAGAAGTTGGTAGAACAAGCAATTGGTCATGAGTGCATGAGTTTTTTGGATGCTAGCTCGGGGTATCATCAGGTCCAGTTGTGACTGGATTACCAAGAAAAAACGACGTTTTATGCTGGGGATGTTATTTATTACTATGTCATCATACCATTTAGATTGAAGAACGCAGGGGCTACATATCAGAAGTTAGTTCAGCTTGTTTTTAAGCTTCAGATCGGCAGGAACATTGAAGTATATGTTGATGACATGATCATCAAGAGTCTACAAGCAGAAGATCACATTGATGACCTAGACGAAACATTTTAAAACTTGTGCCAAGCACAAATGAAATTAAATCCATTGAAGTGTATGTTTGGTGTGGAGTCAAGCAAGTTCTTAGGGTATGTGGTCTTTAAGAAAGGAATCAAGGCAAACCCGGACAAAATCCAGGCCGTTGAACAAATGGAACCTTCTAAGACAGTTAAAGAAGTACAATGTTTGACGGGTCGTATCACAACCTTGCACAGATTCATTGCTAGGTCAACAGAAAGATGCCTTCCATTCTTTAAGGCATTATGATCGCCTAAGGACTTTCGGTGGACGAAGCAATGCCAACAGGCTTTCAGGGAACTCAAAAAATATTTGGTTTCACCCCCACTTCTCTCTAAATTCGTCAATAGAGGAACATTGTACATCTATTTGGGAATAACAGTTGAGGCGATGAGCTCGGTCTTGCTAAGAGAGCAACACAAGCAATAGAAACCCATCTACTATATGACCAAAGTTCCACAAGGCGCAGATTGAAATTATCTTGTGTTAGAAAAAGTTGCTTTTGCCCTTGTTTCTGCAGCCCAAAAGCTAAGAGCGTACTTCCAATCCCATCAGATCTTTGTTTTCACTGACCTACCACTAGGAAAGGTATTGCAAAACCTAAGCTTTATGGTTGACTGATTGGGTGGGCTGTCGAGCTCAGTGAGTATGACATCAAAGTTGAGCCTCACACAACTACAAAGGGCCAAGCTTTAACAGATTTTCTAGTCAAGTGCCATCCACCAGCTATAGAGGAAGTGGCAACTGCACACCCCATATAGGCCCTATATGTAGATGGAGCTGTGGACATTAAAGGATTAGGGGTTGGGGCAGTGTTAGTTGGCCTATATGGTTTCAAATCTGAGCATGGTTTGAGATTCAAGTTTAGTGCAACCAATAACATTGTCGAGTACGAAGAACTCATATATTGTCTAAAGTTAGCTTCTAAGCTCTGAAAGCACAAAACATAAGGGTTTTCAGTGATTCCCAACTTATTGTGAATCAAGTTAATGGGAGCTGTGATGTTAAAGATCCTCAACTCGTTTGTTATTCTTCTATAATTAACTAGTTAAAAATGGGTTTTGCTTCCTTTCGGATTGACAAGATACCATGGGAAAACAATCGACAAGCTAATGAATTGTCCAAGCTTGCTTCATCACAGGACATCAACCCTCAACAAATGACATACGTGGAGATCCTGGATGCCTCAAGCTACACCGACCCAGTATCCAATTGTCAAATACTAAGCACTGACCTGTTTTGGCAGAGCTAAATCACGTTTTAATTAATTATTTGCGAAATGGTGAGCTGCTTAAGGACTTGTCTGAGGCTCAATTGATCAAACATAGAGTAACCCATTTTCCTTTAATTGATGACTAATTGTATAAATGAGCAATCTCAATGCCCCTATTATGTTGCCTTACTTCTATGAATTTTAATATGCTGTAAGGGAAATTCATAAAGGAGTTTGTAGCACCCACATAGGTGGAAAAACATTAACTCGAAAACTTCTAAGATAGGGATACTACTAACCCAATATGGTTGAAGGTGCACAAAACAATGTCAAAAAGTGTCTAACATGCCAGTTGAATTCCAATGACATTCACATGCCAGGTAACCCAGCTCGTTTTGGATTCAACACGTGAGTCTACCTATGCTTCCACATTGATCTCTAGACTAAAAATGTATGCCTCTTTTGATACAAGAGAATTGATGTCCTCTCTCACATCACCTTGGCTTTTTGCTCAATGGGAAGTGGACCTGCTCAGTCCTTTTGTTAAAGGCAAGAGGGGGTTACACGCATTTTATTGTTGTTGTGGATTACTTCATCAAATGGATAGAAGCTAAACCATTATCCACAATCATAGAGAAAAAGGTGGAAGAGATTTTATTCAGCTCAATGTTGTGCAGGTACAATTATGAAATTAAATTCACACTGTACCAAGCACACACGTTCACCTTGTCACTCAACCTACTTGTTCATATACAAGTTTGGTGTCCCTCAACACATCATAGCGAGCAACGATCCTCAATTCTGAGTCACAGCTCTCAGGTTGCTCTGTGAAGACTATGGCATTAAGCTCATTCTTGCGTCCATCTACACACCACAAACAAACAACAAGGCAGAGTCTACCAATAAAATTGTTCTACATGGCCTTAAGACATGCGTCATGACCACATAAACGAATTGTGTAGACAAGCTAAATAAAGTCCTATGGTCATGTCGTACTGCACCCACTTCAGCCATGGGAGAAACTCTGTTTTCCCTCTCCTACAAAACTGAAGTAGTTATCCCTGTGGAAATAGGTGTGCCAAGTTAAAGAGCTACCCAGTTTAATGAGTCCATGAACAAACAGCAACAGCGCGAAAATATCCATCTCATTGAGGAAGTGAGAGAAATGGTGTGGATGAAAAATATTGCCTATCATACTCGTGTTTCTAAGTTATATAATAAAAGAGTTCGATCTCATCAATTCCAAATTGATGACCTAGTTCTATGCAAAGCTGGGTTAACTAATACCTATTCCTACATGGGTAAGCTCATGCTTAACTGGGAGGGTCCATACAAGTTTATGGCCGTTAAGTGACTTGGGACATATATGTTAAAAGATTCACACAGAATATACATAATCTCAGGAAATACTATAGTTAGCGGCCAGAATGCAAATGTAACATGTACACTCATTTATCAATAAAATACGTTTGTTTCATTAAATAATAGTGCAAACTACATCAGTTCAAAAATGAAACAATCAAAAGTTAACTTAAATAACAAAAATACAAAGCTAGCAACAACTCTATCCTTTTAATTATTTGTCAAGGCCACAGGAATACTGCTTGTTGCTTTATCATGAGCTGATGATAGTGCGAATTGAGAGAAAGGCAGGGTGCTTGAAGGTTCTACTTCCACGTTAGGCATCTCGGTTACCCAAGCATTGAAGCTTGGCAAGGAATCCAAAACCTCCCCTTCTTCAAGAATAGTTAGAGGCCATATTGGCACTCCATCCTTATTCAACTCCCATTTGAGGCATACTGTTATATCAACATGAGGGAGAAAGCTCTTCCCTTGCTCGTCAATTTCCTCTCCCTCCACAAACATCAGCTTGCTTATGTAGAAGTCAGGTCAGATCAACAATACCCATCCGCGAATGTCGTCATAAATTGGCATTGTGGTGTTCATTAACATAATTGTGATGGCATCTTGGAATGTAATTGACCTGAGCAGCCACTTCACCCCTTAAGCTCAGGCAACACTAATGGAGTGTTGATAAGATACCTTCATTTGGTCCAAGGCTTCCCAACCACGTGCAACGTTTTGATTTGCCGCAGCCACTTGAGCCCTTAAGGTGTTCAACTCGTTTAGAGCACTTTTTCTTTCAACTTCGGCCTTTTTCGTGCACTTTTCAGCATGCACTGCCTTTTCCTTAGCGGCTTGAATCCCATTTTCTTTTTCAACTTCAGCCTTCTCTAGTTCTTCCTTCAGCTTGAGCACTTTATTATTCAACTCGTTAGTTTAACTCTCTGCCAACACAGCTCTGTTGGCCATCTTAGAGCTCTATAAATGATTAACCTCTTTCTCCAAGCTTGCCTTCTCAAAAGTTAGCCATCTGCAACTTTTTATGAGTTTGCATGCTTATCCCTATGCCTCCTCTTCACACTCAAATAACACTACCACGTAGCTAAAAGCCTGTTATCCGATTCGCCTTATTACTCTTGACATGAAAGCATAAGGTATTTAATATAGATATTTGACAATAACACTTATGTCCATCAATTTTAGCATGGCCGCGTGACCATTGTTCTATTACACATAACCCTTGGTGTGTTGACGATCTACTAGAAGGATGAAGTTATGCATACCCTGTAGTATAGCGGCATGACAGTCCACCTTAGTGTAGCTAAATCCATTAGGGTATGTAATCCGGGGACTGGACACTTGAGTTTGTGTCGATCTGACTTCAACACCACTACTCATCGAAGTAAGAGGCATATCCGATGAGCATGTGACAATGGGTTGAGCCCCTGTACTAAATCACCCCTAAACAACGGGTGACACATCCTCCTCAGCATCTGCTTCCTCACGAGCATGCCTCCGAGAGTTCGGAGGAAAAGTTTCAATTCTTTGCTTAGTGTGTGCCCTTAAGGCCGAGCTGGAGCCTTATTCTCTATGAGACGAGCTACAAGGCAGCGCTGCTGGTCGTTCATCAAACCGCATTTGCCTTTGCGAGCTGGGTTCCCCCGCTTACTCTTGGATCTTTGCACTCACTTACGTTGTCTGTCCAACATGTTGCTCATCTCTCCTACACAAAGGAGCACAATAAGACTCAGCCTAGTTAAAGTTTTAAATGTATGAAAGAAATATACCTTCGGTATAAAGGTTTGTGGTATCCACAAACCCAAACATCTCTAATTGCTCAGGGGTAACTAGGTTGTCTAAATCTACTAGCTCCTCTTCCCTTGCATAGGTTAACAGCCTATTCTTCAAATCTACATCACGTAGTGTCAGGTCAGGATAATTCATATATATCTGTGGAGTACGCCACACAGAGATACGAGCAATGAGTTTGTTACTTATCCTCTTCGTTCGTGTATCTCGAACAAAAATAAACTATCTCTTCCACCTCGCCACCTTATTCTTCACATTCTTAAAAAGCACCATCTTTTTCCTCCTTTAGATGTAGTACCACCTCATCTAGTTACTACTCAATCTACATTAGAAAAGCGACTTGAATATCACCGCCTTTGCAAGAATGCCCAATCTTGCACATAACAACATGAACCTTATGATGAACTTTATGCTGTTTAGAGTCAGTTGCATTAGTGCTAGCCTACATTCTGATAGTACGTCACAATCAGCCCGGGCAAGGGAAATCGTAAGCCAATGTCAAAGTGATCTAGATGTATTGGTATCTATCCAGTTTTTGACACTGTGCACACTCTCATTTTTAGTACTAGCTCGGATCAAATTTGTCTTAGGGATTTGAAATTATCTCACCATTTCCCCCAATTTTTTAAATCCCTTTACAATGGTGGCACCGTCTGTTACCTCGTGGTGGAGCGCCGCTCTAAATCTAACAAGCAAGTCTTGCGACGCTTCTCGTATGTTGTCCAGCTTCCCATTGATAGGTCTATCCTCTCAGGTGCCAACCACTGACGCACTTACCTCCATGCCTGTCATAGAAGGACCACCATTACCTGTTCACACCTTCATCATCACTGGGCATCACTTTAAAAGATGGGCCCTTAGAAGACAAAGAATGGTGGTTCCCGAAGCCACTGGCACTACTTGAATTGGCATTGCTCTCCAGTGTGATGGACTCTGTAAGTCTTCTAGTGTCGACGGCATTATAATAGTAATAGGCTTCATAAACACAACACCGTCTTTATCTTCCCTCTCCTAGTTACCCCAAAGCTCTCTAAGTTATCTAAAAAATTTCATTTTTACCTAGTTTTTGCGATGATAATGTCCCCTTACGTCTTCCGTTTTAGGACTTCACTCGTAAACTTCAAATACCCCTATTATAGAAAATGGCAAAGAATTGTGCAAAAGAGAAACAACCAAAGTGATAATATGATCGTTTCCATTTCCTTTTCTTCATCAGTTTACACAACCTTAATTCTCGTATGTGTGTTCCTAAGACCCTAGTTAAACTCCCACATGTGGCAACCATTTATGCCTTGGCATGTAACATTTGCCAGCTTTAGTTGTCATGTTTCTTCAACTGTTGAATCAGTATTTATTGTGCAGGGGGGGCAAAGGGATATCAACCACTCTGAACCATATCTCTTTAGGGGTTTTGTTTTGTTTTGTTTTGAATTTTGAAAAATCACATGGATGAGCTCATTCTACATCATCTCATTCGTGATCTACACCTTATCAAGAAATCATATCCCTTCAAGGATTTGTTCTATTTTGAATTTTGAAAAATCACATGTATGAGCTCGTTCTATATTAGCTCGTTCATAATCCGTGCCTCATAGGATGTTTGTTTTAAATGTTGAAACTTTACTTGGTTGAGCTCGGCCAAGATGAACTCATTCAAGGGTCGAATCTCCTTAGAGATTGGTTTTCAAATTGTGAAAACTGTACTGGACGAACTTGTTTGAGAAAAGACACAAGACTGAGCTACCGCTGCTCACACTAGCTCATCCAAATCTTACAAAAATCATCGGATATACGCGCTGGCTCCTGAACGTAGCGATTTTGATTCAGCTTGTCATTATTGAAGGCGAGTTCGCATAAAACCCATGAAGCGTAAAAGCTGATGACGTGGTAAGATCATCCATAAACCAAGTCCTTGAAGGTGGTTGTTGGGCTACCATTATAACTGCCACAATTCGTTAATCAAGCGCTAAGGAGGGAGCAATGTTGGGAATAGGCCTAACACCTGCCCAGCAGGCCCAACAGGCCCATTAACACGCTTAGGAGCCCAAAGTAACCCCAAGTGTGGGCACACTCACCCAAATATACCTATGTGGGTTAATCGGGTATTTACATGTGGAACTTGGCACCATCAATGGGGGGCTATAAATACTCCCACCTACCTCTGTTTAAGATAATTACTCCAATATACTTCTCTCTCTACAATTACTCTCCTTGAGAACTTCTCTCTCTAGGATATCGAGTATTATTGACTTGAGGATTGGAGTGTTTTTCTAAGGAAACATCATCGGGTTTTTCAGGTGTTGAAACAGTTGAAGATCTCTAAAGTGAAGGTTCGCAAAGCTGCCTAAACAATTTTGTTTTAAACTAATAAAATAAAAATGATTAATTAATTTTTTGATATAAATGATGGGAGATGAGAATCTTTGGTAGGATTGATTTCTCCTGAATAATAGAGATGAGGGGCAACTTCTACTTTTATAAAAAAATCCTCATGGGAATCCCGTCCTCACAATTTGCAAGGACAGGGGGAGGCACTTCTTAGTCCCGTGGAACCCCAATGCTATCCATAGACATGATATTAAACTGAATGTGACTCTCAAATAAAAAAAAAATTAATTACAAAGTAACATGTGATATTGTATAAATCATTAATTGTACACTTTTATTAAAATTAAAAAACTTCCTTTAGAGATAGTGGGTTTTAATGGCAATTTCAATACAAAATTTTGGCTAAAAATCTCCTAATATATGGTTTGGGGTTACGCACAACTCTTAGACTTGTTTTTTTTTTTT